CTGATATCCAGAATTTACAAAGAACTCAAACGGATTTACAGGAAAAAAACAAACAAGCCCATTCAAAAGTGGGCAAAGGATATGAACAGACACTTTACGAAAGAAGACATATATGAGGCCAACAATCATATGAAAAAATGCTCATCGTCACTGGTCATCAGAGAGATGCAAATCAAAACCACATTGAGATACCATCTCACGCCAGTTAGAATGGCGATCATTAAAAAATCTGGAGACAACAGATGCTGGAGAGGATGTGGAGAAAAAGGAACACTTTTACACTGTTGGTGGGAGTGTAAATTAGTTCAACCATTGTGGAAGACAGTGTGGCGATTCCTCAAGGCCTTAGAAATAGAAATTCCATTTGACCCAGCAATCCCATTACTGGGTATATATCCAAAAGACTATAAATCGTTCTACTATAAGGACACATGTACACGAATGTTCATTGCAGCACTGTTTACAATAGCAAAGACCTGGAATCAACCCAAATGCCCATTGATAATAGACTGGATTGGAAAAATGTGGCACATATACACCATGGAATATTATGCAGCAATCAGAAATGATGAGTTTGTGTCGTTTGTAGGGACATGGATGAATCTGGAGAACGTCAAGCTCAGCAAACTGACACAAGAACAGAAAATGAAACACCGCATATTCTCACTCATAGGCGGGTGATGAAAAATGAGAACACATGGACACAGAAAGGGGAGTACTAAACACTGGGGTCTATTGGGGGGAAAAGGGGAGGGCCAGTGGGAGGGGGAGGTGGGGAGGGATAGCTTGGGGAGAAATGCCAAATGTGGGTGAAGGGGAGAAGGAAAGAGAAGCACACTGCCATGTGTGTTCCTACGCAACTGTCTTACATGCTCTGCTCATGTACCCCAAAACCTAAAATCCAATAAAAAATTAAAAAAAAAAAAAAAAGAAATCTCTGCAAGGGCACACTGGTAGTAAAATGGCAAAAGATCTTTCATCTATGGTGTCAAATAGCCAAGTCTATTGTTTGTCTTAGTACTCTCCATCATAATCTTGGGCTTCATTCCATTTTATGTATCATGTAAATTTCAAATACTTATTTTTAAATCTTTTAACACCTTATTGTCTAGTTTCAGTTGTTTTGCAGTATCTTCATTTAGTCTACACTGTCTAAGTGTTCATTATCTTAGTCTCAACAGTTTTATGGTAAAAGAGGAAAGCAAAAGTCCTAAAAATGAACACAAAAATCAAAACTTTTGTTTTTATATATTTTTAAATCTCATTCTTTAAATATCTACATTGTATGTTTAAAAGAATAGTTTAACAAGATAGGTGCATGAGAAAAACTGGCCACCACTCGGCAGAGTAAACGAGACTGGTTCCCCTTCTGACTGAGGTTTGGAGACCCGGGAAGGCAGAGTAGCCTATTACGGACACAAGAAGGAAGCCAGACAGGAGAATCCTGGGCAGAAAAGCACCATCAGTCTTAACTCCGCTGTTCCATCCCTGGGAACTAACAACTTGGACGTCCACTCAAGAGACCTAAACTGAAAGTTCATAATTTCAAAGACAACAGGAGGATAAATTTACAATGATGGGAAGAAACCAGCGTAAAAAGGCTGAGAATACTCAAAATCAGAATGCCTCTCCCTCTAAAGATGATCACAGTTCCACATCAACAATGGAACAAGGCTTAATGGAGAACGACTGCATCCCAATAACAGAATCACGCTTCAGGAAATGGATAATAAGTAACTTCCGTGAGTTAAAAGAACATGTTGGGCCAGGCGTGGTGGCTCAAGCCTATAATCCCAGCACTTTGGGAGGCCGAGGCGGGCGGATCACCAGGTCAAGAGATCTAGACCATCCTGGCCAACATGGTGAAACCCCGTCTCTACTAAAAATACAAAAATTAGCAGGGCGTGGTGGCGTGCGCCTGTAGTCCCAGCTACTTGAGAGGCTGAGGCAGTAGAATTGCTTGAACCCGGGAGGCGGAGGTTGCAGTGAGCCGAGACTGTGCCACTACACTCTAGCCTAGCGCCTGGTGACAGAGTGAGACTCTGTCTCAAAAAAAAAAAAAAAGAACAGGTTGTAGCCCAATGTAAAGAAACTAAGAACTTTGAAAAAAGCTTTGATGAAATCCTATTGAGAATAGACAACTTAGAGAGGAATATAAGTGAATTAATGGAACTGAAGAATACAATACAGGAACTCCGAGAAGTTTGCACAGGTTTAAACACTTGAATTGTTCAAGCAGAAGAAAGGATATCAGACGTCAAAATCCAACTTAATGAAAGAAAAGAAGAAGACAAGATTAGAGAAAAAAGGATAAAAAGGAATGAGCAAAGTCTCCAAGATATGTGGGACTATGTGAAAAGACCAAATGTACGTTTGATAGGTGTACCTGAATGCCACGGAGAGAATGAATCCAAGCTGGAAAATACCCCTCAGGATATTATTCAGGAAAATTTTCCTAACCTAGCAAAGCAGGTCAATATTCAACCCCAGGTAATACAGAGAACGCCACAAAGATATTCCTCAAAAAGAGCAACCCCAAGGCACATAATCGTTAGATTCACCAGGGTTGAAACGAAGGAGAGGATACTAAGGGCAGCCAGAGAGAAAGTTCAGATTACCCACAAAGGCAAGCCTATCAGACTTAAACAGCAGATCTCTCAGCAGAAACTCTCCAAGCCAGAAGAGAGTGGGGGCCAATATTCAACATACTTAAAGAACAGAACTTTCAGCCCAGAATTTCATATCCAGCCAAACTAAGCTTCACAACTGAAGGAAAAATAAAATCTTTTATGAACAAGCAACTACTCAGAGATTTTATTACCACCAGGCCTGCTTTACAAGAGCTTCTGAAAGAAGCATTACATACAGAAAGAAACAACCAGTATTAGCCTTTCTAAAAATATACCAAAAAGTAAAGAGCACCAACATAAAAAAGAATTTACATCAACGAATGGATAAAATAGCCAGTTAACATCAAATGGCAGTAACCCTAAATTTAAATCGACTAAATCCCCCAATCAAAAGACACAGCCAAAACCCAACGGCATGTTACATCCAGACCTGTTTCACATGCAAGGATACACAAAGACTCAAAACAAAGGGATGGAGAAAGATTTACCAACCAAATGGAGAGCCAAAATAAATAAATAAAAAAGCAGGAGTTGCAATTCTCGTATCGGATAAAATAGATTTTAAAGCAACAAAGATATAGTGGTAAAAGGATCAATGCAACAACAAGAGCTAACGATCCTAACACCCAGATACATAGAGACTTAGATTCAATGAGACAGAAAATTAATAAGGATATCAAGGACTCGAACTCAGATCCGGAACAAGTAAACTTAATAAATATGTATAGAGCTCTCCATTTCAAATACACAAAATATACATTCTTGTCAATACCACACCACAGCTACTCATAGGCTTAGATGAAACATTGATTGGCCATTATTCATACCCATTTTTTTTTTCAGAATAAAGCAATATTTCCGTTCACCCTCCCTGTTTCTCTTCCTCTTTCTTCCTCTTCTTTACTCATTTTTTTTTGTTTTCTTGTCTCAAAAAAAAAAAAGAAATCAACTTGTAAACCTCTAGATCCAGGTCGGCAATGTCTCTCTCGTTGCTTGATTTCCTTCCTTCTCTTCCCTCTTTCCCTCCCCGCTTCCTCCCTTCCTTCCTTCCTTCATCCCTTCTTTCCTCCCTCCCTTCCTCCTTCCCTTCATTCCTGCCTTCCTCCCTTCCTCCCAAAAAATAAAAATATAAATAAATAAAAAAGAGAAAAAAAAAAACAAGGAAAACTGGCCACCACTCAACTAAAAAACGCAAACACCCCTCCCTTTATAAACTATAACTGCTTTCCACTCAACACACATTGTCTTTGTTAATCAGTCTGAATGATAAATACTGTACACCATGATGACAATACAAAGTAAATGCCAAGTCATTATACTGTAAGACAAAAAAAATGTAAATCCTACAATAAATGTATAAAAAATTGGTGAAAGTGAAAAACAAATATTTAATCACAGTCATGGCCACTGGCTTAAATATAGATATAAAGAGGTCTATATTTTTAACTATATTATTAACTGTAGAAATAATAACTGTAGAAAGAAAAAGACACCAGTAAGCACAGAAGGTACTTTTTTCCAAAGGAGAATTATGTGAATATCAAGACTAGCAACACCTCTTAGAAAACTGACAAAGCCCTTAAATATATTATCTTTATTATCAGGAAGTGCACTTGAATGAAAATATCATTACTGTATTATCATACAATTGTTAGAAAAATCATGCCAAAATGGAATCTACCATTTAATTCATTCTGTTCACTCAAATATTTAGTACACAGCATTACAACTAAATCTGATTTTTGAAAGATTAAACAAATTTATAATTTTCATTTCATCTATAGAAATAAAATCTCAAGCTATTTTGCACCACATTATAAAACTTTTATCGTGATTTTCCATAATCCAGCTTTCTTCCATATCAAAATACTCAGAATACATTTAATAATATGGCAGTGTTACAAACATTTGATATCGCTGTAATGCTTTTAACTTCTATTTAGCTTTCCTCAAATATTTTTAATTTAATATATCTTATTTATCTTAAAAACTCATCTTTTTTTTTTTAATCTACCACTCCACTTAACAAATCGTTTCAATCATACAGCAAAGTAAACATTAACCTTCCCTTTTTTCCCTGGCCACCAAACCCTATTTTCATATAGAAGTTAAAAAGAAATTAAGTATACCAATTATTTTTCCACTGCCTATAATCAAGTAATAAGGAAACAAAATAACTGAAAAGACATAAGTAGAAAGAATTTATTTATAAGCCATTGTTTACAAATATGATGAAATAAAATTGTTCGGTACAATAAAAAGCAGGAAAAGAGATGGGAGCGCAAAGGAAATACTGGCAAACAAAAAACATAAAATACAACTGAAATAGACTTAAAAAGATTTCTTAAATAGATAAGAATTAAAACATACCTGGGAATGATACTCACTCAATGGGTTATGTTTAAAATTTTGCTTGTGGCCAGCCAGGGTGGCTCACTTCTATAATCCCAGCACTATGGGAGGCCAAGGTGTTCGGACTGCTTGAGCCCAAGAGTTCAAGACCAGCCTGGGAAACACAGTAAGATTCCATCTCTTAAAAAAAAAAAAAAATCCTCCTTACATGTGCTTGTTAAGGAGAGATTAAAATTAAAACCATTACATGCTCTTTAGTTTTTTTTTTTTTTTAATTTTATGATTTTTATAGCATGTAGAAAAAGATAAAAAGCCAAATTAACAACAATAAAAAAAGCCAAATTAGACAAAAACATATTTTAGGAATGATCATCAGTGTTGAAATACATCATGTGTTAATATTAAGGAAAACAGTGCCATAATATGTAATAGTCTAACAATACAGCCCAATAAATAAATATATACACTTGAACACAGGGAAAAACTTTAATAATTCAGGGGTAACAAGAAAAATATCTATAAGAGGCCTGGTGGCTCACACCTGTAAACACAGCCTTTGGGATCACCTGAGGTCAGGAGTTTCAGACTAGCCTGGGCAACATGGTGAAACCTTGTTCCTATTAAAAATAAAAATTAGCCAGGTGTGATGGCATATACCTATAATCCCAGCTACTCAGGAGCCTCAGGCATGAGATTCATTTGCACAGGTTGCAGTAAGCTGAGAGTGCACTGTTGTACTCCAGCCTGGGCAACAGAGTGAGATGCTGTCTCAAAAAAAAAAAAAAAAGGGAGGAAAGGGGACAGAGGGAAGAAGGATAGGAGGGGTTTTAATTACATATACTGTAAAAAAAGAAATTAAATACAAATGTGGGAAGCCTTCTACATATGCACACACAGAAAACTGAAAATAAAAGGCATAATAAACTCAAACAAAAGGGAACAAAAGATATGAACAGAAAGCATCAACAAAAAAATTTCTTGAAAAATATAATCAAATTCCTATTTGGCAAAGAAAAATAGCAAAATATAAAAAGGTTATTGGGGAAAAAAGGAGCAAATGGATAGTATTATAAAGGTTTTGTAAGTCATAAGACAAAACCATAAATATTTATATCCCACTTATAAACATATTTCTAGAACATTAAAAACTCTGTGGGCCGAGGGCAATGGTTCACATTATCTGTAATCCCAGCACTCCTGAGAGGAGAAGGCATGCCGATCACGAGGTCAGGAGTTTGAGACCAGCCTGGCCAACATAGTGTAACTCTATCTCTACTAAAACTACAAAAAGTACCGGGGCGTGGTGGTGCGTACCTGTAATCCCAGCTACTTGGCAGGCTGAGCCAGGAGAATCACTTGAACCCGGGAAGTCAGAGGTTGCAGTGAGATGGTGCCACTGCCCTCCGTCTCAAAAAATAAATAAATAAATAATTCCGTGTAAGCAACAAAAACATACTAAAGAAAATCCAAGGATTTATCACTGTAAAAGAAACTTTCAATAAATAAATTGAATGTCAAAAAATATATTCATGCATGCCTGTAATCCCAGCACTTTGGGAGGCCAAGGCAGATGGATCACGAGGTCAAGAGATCGAGACCATCCTGGTCAACATGGTGAAACCCTGTCTCTACTTAAAATACAAAAAAATTAGCTGGGCATGGTGGCATGTACCTACAATCCCATCTACTCAGGAGGCTGAGGCAGGAGAATTGCCTGAACCCAGGAGGCGGAGGTTGCGGTGAGCCATTGCACTCCAGCCTGGGTAAGGAGCGAAACTCCATCTCAAAAAATAAAAGAAAAAAATTCATGACGAGGTGTGGTGGCTCACACCTGTAATTCCAGCACTTTGGGAGGCCAACGGGGAAAGATCACCTGAGGTCAAGGGTTCAAGACTAGCGTGACCAAGATGGAGAAATCCCATCTCTACTGAAAATACCAAGTTAGTTGGGCATGGTGGCACATACATGTAATCTCAGCTATTCTAGAGGCTGAGGCAGGAGAATCACTTAAACCTGGCAGACTGAAGTTGCAGTGAGCTGAGATGATGCCATTGCACTCCAGCCTGGGGAACAAGACAGAAACTCTTTCTAAAACAAAAAAATTCATAAAAAGACTCCAGGTACAAGTAAATATACAAAGAAATTCAATCTAACTTCAAAGAAAAAACTAATCCTTTTTTTAATAGGCGACCATTGTCCAAAAAGAGAGACACTCTCACAGCATGAGTTTAACATAACCTTGTTATCAAACTGTGAAAAAAAAAATTACATGACTATAACTTTCTTTTCTATAGTGTCTATGAGACTGTGCAGACAGAACTACAATTAGGTAATGTTAATATTAAATATCCAGGTGGGCCAGGCACGGTGGCTCAAGCCGGTAATCCCAGCACTTTGGGAGGCCGAGGCAGGTGGATCTCGAGGTCAAGAGATCGAGACCATCCTGGTCAACATGGTGAAATCCCGTCTCTACTAAAAATACAAAAAATTAGCTGGGCGTGGTGGCGCGTGCCTGTGATCCCAGCTACTCGGGAGGCTGAGGTAGGAGAATTGCCTGAACCCAGGAGTGGGAGGTTGTGGTGAGCCGAGATCGCACCATTGCACTCCAGCCTGGGTAACAAGAGCGAAACTCCGTCTCAAAAAAAAAAAAAATCCAGGTGATTCAAAGATTGTTTAAAATTAGAAACTCGTTAATGCAATTAAGCACAATAATGGGAAAAATGAACAGATGCAATTAAAGTATCCTTAAAAATTCAATTCCTACTTTTTATTAAAAAAAAAAACTCTCAAATTGGGAATGGAAGGAAGCTTAAAGAATATTTCCTTTCAACATCAGTATTTAAGGATAAAACATTGCAACCACTTCTTTAAAGAATCTAGACACTGGAAAAGAACTCTAACATCACTATTAATTATATAAAATTATCACAGATAATTATATTAAAAAATGCAAAAAAAAATCATTGTGATTGCTGAGTTTCACTATGTCTATATGCCCACAATTGTAGGATAAGCCTTTATATATCACTAAGAAAAACCACTGCTAAGTAAACTGATATACTGGATTTCTTTTAGATTTATTCAGTTTTAAAAAAATCACATAGCACTCTTATAAATAGAAAAATATATATATCCAAAGGAAACTGGCTTAGCATATTGATAAAATTTCCTTGAATTCAGAGTGCTATTCTCACTCACTTTTCTATTCACTGCTGTTCGGTGTTCATTTCTAACAATAGAGTCATCTTGGTAACAACAGTGCTAATGATGAAGCATACTTAGTATCATCTCTGGAATATTCTTTCAAGTCAAAGACATCTACTTTGCAAGCTCTGATGCTGACACTTTATTATTTGACAAAAGTCTGTTTCATCTTTCCCGCCCACATTAATAAAAGTTGAGTAGTCTCTCTCCAAATTGAACCACACTAAGAAAGGTTAAGTAGTCTCTCTCCAAAATTAGAAAATATATAATAAATATATTACAACATATTTGTACTCAACATGTGACCAATTACCCTCTGACTGAACCAAGGGACAATCAAGCTTGCCTCTTGGTTTTTAGAAATTTTCTTTGGCCAGGCATGGTGGCTCACACCTGTAATCCCAGCACTTTGGGAGGCCGAGGCGAGTGGATCACCTGAGGTCAGGAGTTTGAGACCAGTGTGGTCAACATGATTTAACCCTGTCTCCTAAAAATACAAAACTTAGCTGGTCAGGGTGACACATGCTTGTAATCCTAACTACTGAGAAGGCTGAGGCAAGAGAATTCCTTGAACATGGGAGGCAGAGGTTGCAGTGGGCTGAGACTGCGCCACTGTACTCCAGCCTGGGCAACACAGTGAAACTCTGTCTCACAAAATATAAATAAATAAATAAATAAAAATTTCCCTTAATCCAAAGGAAACTTATTTTATCTACGGTTACACTGTTTGGCATGAATCATCAACCTGATTATAGGTAAGAATGGATTTAATCCATTTGAAGTGATGACAAAATGGACAACTTATAAATTGGAAAACTGATTACTGGACTCTATCTGTGGTGTAAAACACATTGACTTTATAAGTGCTAAAATATAAACATCTACCTCAGAATCTAAGAAATATGATCATTTCAGCAAGGTTGCTGAAAGTCAATAGGATTACTATTATAAATTACAATAACTGGTTAAGTGTAACTTTCGAAATTATGACTCATAATGGGAAAAAAATTATACAACATCTTGATATGGTTAAGCAAAGTAGGTATAGGATGTTAGTACAACCTCAATGGAAAACAGTAAAGAGATTTCTCAAAGAAATGTTTATCATAGAGCTATCCATATAGTAAAGACATGGAAGCAATTTATATGCCCATCAGTGAATGAATAAAGAAAGAAAATGTGGCATAGCTCGGGGCTATGGCTCATGCCTATAATCCTAATACTTTAGGAGGCTGAGACAAGAGCATTACCTGGGCCCAAGAGTTCAAGGCCAACTTCGGTAACATCCTGTCTCTACCAAACAAACAAATTTAAAACACATTTTTCCAGGAATGGTAGTGTGTACCTCTAGCCCTAGCTACTGGGAAGGCTGAGGTGGGAGGGTCACGTGAGCCAGGGAAATCAGAGCTGCAATGAGCCATGATCAGGCACTTTATCAAGCCTGGATGACAGGTGAGACTGTCTCAAAAAAAAAAAAAATTAGCCAGGCACAAGGGCTCACACCAGTAATCCCAACAATTTGGGAGGGTGAGATGGAAGGATAACTTGAGCTCAGGAGTCCAAGACTAGCCTGAGAAACATAGAGAGACCCTGTATCTACAAAAAATACAGAAAGCAGGGCCATGCACAGTAGCTCATGCCTGTAATTCCACCACTTTGAGAGGCTGACATAGCCTGGTAATTTGAGGCCAAGAGTTCAAGGCAAACATGATGAAAACTCATCTCTACCAAAAATACAAAAATTAGCTGGGGTTGGTGATGTGTAGTTCCAGCTACTTGAGAGGCTGAGGCACAAGAATCGTTGAACCTGAGAGGTGGAGGTTGCAATAAGCTGAGATTGTGACACTACACTCCAGTCTGAGAGTGAGACCCTGTCTCAAAAAAAAATTAGCCCTTCATAGTGGGTATCCATAGTCACTGCTACAAAGAAGGCTGAGGTGAGAGGATCAGTTGAGTTCAGGAATTCAAGACCAACATGAGCAACATAGTGAGATACCACATCTACAAAAAATATATAAAAATTATCTGGACACAGCGGTGTGGTGTGCACCTGCACTCTAAGCTACATAAGAAGCTGAGGTGGGAGGATGATCACTTGAGCCCTGGAAGTCAAGGCTGCAGTGAGCTATGATCATGCCACAAGACTCCAGCCTGTACAACATAGTGGGACTCTGTCTCAAAGAAAAAAAAAAGTGGTATATATAGACAACAGAATACTATTTGGCTATTGAAAAAAAAAAAGAATGAAATCGTGTGTTTTGCAGCAACATGGGTGGAACTGAAGGCTGTCTATTATCTTAAGTGAAATATACCAGGTACAGAAAGATAAATGCCATGTATCTCATTTGTAAATGAAAGCTAAATAATCTGTATATATAGACTTGACACTAGAGACTCAAAAGGGTAAAGGAGTGGAAGGGAGGTGGATAATGAGAGATTATTCAATGGGTATAATGTATGTTACTTGGGAAATGGCTACTCTACCATCTCTATGTATCCATTTCTATGTACATGACAAATGCATCTACAGATATGCCATGTAATCCACATATATACTGTACCCCATAAATTTACACACACACACACACACTGTGTATATATGGACAGTGGACCTAGTTGGTCAAATTCAAAACCTAGTCCACCAGTTAATTATATGTGTATATGTAAGATTCTGACGTACAGACTTTAACAGAAAGACAGTATAAAGCTGGGGAAGGTGGCTCACTCACACTTGTAATCCTAGCACTTTATAAGGCAAAGATGGTATGACCACTGGACCCAGGAGTTCAAAGCTTGCCTGGGCAACACAATAAGTCCCCATTTCTACAAAAAAAATAAAGAATTAGCTGGGTGTGCATGGTGGTTTGTGCTGCAGTTCCAACTACTTGAGAGGCCAAAGTAAGAACATCACTTGAGCACAGAAGTACAAGGGTGACGTAAGCCATGATCATGCATCAGTGTACTCCAGCCTAGTAACAGAGCAAGACCCTGTCTCAAATTAAACAATATAAACAAAAAAAGGTATAAAATATTTTACTTAATTATAAATTTACTTAATATTTATAGATTAAATGGGCTAATATATTAATTAACCTCAATAACAATGCTAGCACACAAGAAGTATTTATAATTATGTACTAAATTCATCAAAATTGTGTGTTTGTGTGTATTCTTTTTTTTTTTTTTTGAGACAGAATTTCGTTCTAGTTACCCAGGCTGGAGTGCAATGGTGCGATCTCAGCTCACTGCAACCTCCGCCTCCCGGGTTCAGGCAATTCTCCTGCCTCAGCCTCCCAAGTGGCTGGGATTACAGGCACACCCCACCGTGCCCAGCTAATTTTTTGTATTTTTAGTAGAGATGGGGTTTCACCACGTTGACCAGGATGGTATTGATCTCTCGGCCTCGTGATCCACCCACCTTGGCCTCCCAGAGTACTGGGATTACAGGCTTGAGCCACTGTGCCCGGCCCATGTGTATTCTATAAAGGTAATACAAATACAAAACTTAAGCGTTTTACCGTAACTTTTTTTCTTTGTTTCTTTCTTTTTTTTTTTTTTTTTTTTACATGGAGTCTCCCTCTGTTGCCCAGACTGGAGTGCAGTCGCATGATCTCAGCTCACTGTAAGTTTTATTTGCTTCTCTGCTGTGTTTTTAAAAACTGGCTTTATAATCATATGTTAATATGTATATTTTCTTTACAATTGTTTTAGCTTTCTTTTATTTTTTAAAAATTGAGATGGAGTCTTGCTCTGTCACCAGGCTGTAGTATAGTGGCACTTCCTAGGCACACTTTAGTCTCAGCCTTGCAGGTTCAAGTGATGGCTGGCTCACCACATCTGGCTAATTTTTGTATTTTTAAGTAGAGACTGTTTAACCATTTTGGCCAGGCTGATTTCAAACTCCAGACCGCAGGTGATCTGCCAGCCTCAGCCTACCAAAGTGCTGGCATTACAAGAATGAGCCACTGTGCCCTGCCTATGAAAACTGAAAAACTCTAAAATGAGTAGAAGAAAAACAACTAAAACAATCAGGAGGCTGAGGTCAGTGGACCACTTGAGCCTGCAAGGCTGAGACTAAAGTGTGTCTAGGAAGTGCCTGGTGACAGAGCAAGACTCCATCTCAATTTTTAAAAAAGAAAAGAAAGGTAAAACAATTCTAAAGAAAATATACATATTAACATATGATTATAAAGCCAGTTTTTAAAACACAGCAGAGAAGCAAATAAAACTAAAACATCAGATCCATGGGTAACATAAAAACAGGGAAACTAAAAATGCACAAACACATAAAGGAATCTGATGTACCACATAGATTGCATTACGTATCAATGTAAGAAAAGCTAAATGAAATAAATACATATGAAAAAAGATCAACTGCAATCTTGTTAAAAAATACAAAAGAAATCCAGATGGATTCAGACTCCAAATACTTATTTAAAACATAAAACTTGGCCGGGCATGGTGGCTCATGCCTATAATCCCAGCACTTTGGGACACCGAGGCAGGTGGATCACGAGGTCCTGGTCAATGTGGTGAACCCCCGTCTCTACTAAAAATACAAAAATTAGCTGGGCATGGTGGTGCACGCCTGTAGTCCCAGCTACTCCGGAGGCTGAGGCAGGAGAACTGCCTGAACCCAGAAGGCGGAGGTTATGGTGAGCCGAGATCATGCCATTGCACTCCATTCTGGGTAACAACAGCAAAACTCCATCTCAAAAAAAAAAAATAAACAAACACAAAACTTTAAATCAGTTTTAAAAACAAATAGAAGACAGCATCTTTACGCCCAGAAGTAGGAAAATTACTTACAGACACAAAAATTACCACCTATATATGAAAACACTAAAAAGATTACTTCGAATTGTATACTACTCAACAAATATACCAAAAAGAACGTTAAAAGAAGTCACAGACCAGGCATGGTGGCTCACACCTGTAGTTTCAACAGTTTGGGAGGCCAAGGCAGGAGGACTGTTTCAGTCCAGGAGTTCAAGACCAGACTGGACAACATGGCAAGACCCTTTATCTATAAAAAATAATAATAATAATAAATTAACCAGTGTGGTGGGATGTACCTGCCCCCAGCTATTTAGGAGATTGAGGGGAGAGGTTTGCTTGACTCCAGGAGGTCAAGGCTGCAATGAGTTGTGACCACACCACAACACTCCAGCACAGGAAACAGAATGAGATCCTGACACACACACACACACACACATACATACACTCACACACAAAATAGTTTATACTAGGAGAGGGTAGGCAAGTGGAGAAGCTCAACCTCATTAGAAATCTGATAAATGCAAAATTAAAACAATTGGATATGATGCTATCTCCAAAATGCTGAAAGAAATTAAACTGTCATGTTGTGGTGGCTCATACCAGCAATCTCAGCACTTTGTGAGGTCAAGCAGGCAGATCACCTGAGGTCAAGAGTTTGAGACTATCCTGGCCAGCGTGGGGAAATCCCATCTCTACTAAAAAAGAAAAAAGAAAAAGAGCCAGGTGTGGTGACACGTGCCTGCAGTTCAAGCTATTCTGGAGGCTGAGACACAAGAATTGCTTGAACCTGGGAAGTGGAGGTTATGGTGAGCCAATATGGCAACTCCAGCCTGAGCAACAGAATGATATGGTTTCAAAAAACAAAAAAAATCTTTGACAATGATATGGAGAATCAGAGTCTAATAGAAAACTTGTTATCAACTAAATACAACCAACATGGAAAGAATTTGGAAATTCCACTAAAGTTGACAATGCACATACACTTCAAATTACCAGTTCCACTTAAAACCAAGAGAAGTTAGTCATGTACAAAGATGTTCATGGCAACACTGTTTCAAAATTGCAAAAACCTGAACACCTAACTGGTTCTTAGTAATGCATACAAATAGGCCACCATATATTTATGAATGACAATAGAATCTGAATAAATTCACATTAATGATTTCCCAAACTTTTTTCACCTTAGGACTCCTTTACAATTAAAAAATTTGAGAGTGCTAAAAGAGCTTTTGTTAGGAAGGTTATATTATCAATATATGCCATTTTATATACCAATTAATACCTAGTAATTTTTTTAAAACTTTATGTTTATTCATTTAAACTAATAAGCCATTCATATTAAGATAAATAACTGTATTAAAAGTACTTTCCAAATTAAAAAAAAATGTAAATCTTTTTAATACTTGGCTTAAAATAAAACAGGCGGATTCCTCTATCTGCTTCTGCATTTCTGAAAAACCATTTGTCATATTGCCTCTTGAAAACCTCACTGTATACTACATTCATGGGATAATGAGAGTAAAAAAGGTAAACAACTTTTTGTTATTTTTATAAAAATTGTTTTCCTCTCACAAACATCTGAAAAGGTATTAAAGAGCCCCATGGGTTCCTAGACCAACTTTTGCTAACTAAAACAACAGATCCACAGTTAACATGAAAGAAACTCAAAAACTCACTTACTATATTATACCTTTCTAAAGTTAAAATACACACATGAGGAAACCAGTTTGGGGACAAAGAAACAGGCCTGGAAAGTAGTGAAGGCAACTCTTTAAATGGACCTGCAGAACTGCATTTATTTAAATGAAAAAGCATACAAAACAAGTATGAAAGTTGTTAACATTTGTTACAGTCCATTGCAACAGGTTTGTACTTATTTACTAAGGACAAAATATTTTATAATTTACATATTTATTATATTAACTATGTTAATTTTTAAAAGCCATGGACATAGATTCCTTGGTGTCTCTCCTAGTTTAAAATTCCTGTTTCAATAAAGCAGGATTTGGTTATAATCCAGTAACTCTCCTTTATTATACTGTATAATATAAATACATAATCTAAACAAAAAAGCTATATTTATTAAAATGATATGTTTAAAACTAATTTGGTAAGAAAAAGAATGAGCTGTTAGTCAAAGTAGATGGTGAAAGCAATGGTGGAAACATGTTCCTATGCATCCTGCTTTCCTCTGCTGCCTTCCAAAAATATACACTGTATGCCTTAATACGTACGTAGCAATTCAAGAACACTATCTGGCTACTTAATTTCACTATCTGGTGACTTAATTTCAATTGAAGGGCTATTCAACTCCATATAAATCTCTCCATTAACTTATTTAAATAATATTTTTTGGAAATAATGTTTATCTGCCAAATCATTCTGCTTAGAGGAGCAAAGCAAGAGAAGTAACTATGTACTATAATTAAGGGCTTCAAAGGTTAGGAATAAAGATAAAACTATAAACCTACTTTTAGAATGCAATACATTAAATGTTAATTAAAACTACACTGTTTTAAGTGACAGGAATGAAAGAACACCTGGTAATACAGTAGTGTCTACAACAGAAAGCAAGCAAAAAGCAGGAGTTATTTTAGGGACTCTAGGACAAAAGAGCTTCAGTACACATTACTGATCACCTAATATGTGCCAGATAAATTTGGTTTCAACAATACTGAATATGGATTGCTAATAAGAGGTCAGGAGGGAGTGTTCAGCAGGTTACTCACTGTAAATGCTGTATGAAAAACTTGATGAGTGAGAATAAGAGACAGTGATGCCAGGAAAGAAGTCTGGAGAAAACAGGTAATTGATCTCAAGTTAAATCCCATATTAGGTCAGGAAAATGACCAAAGCAGACGAAGAACGCACAAAGAGTTTCTGAAATGCAGTACACTTTCATGTGACACACTAATTACATGCTGTGGAACAGTTTCACATGTTGAGAAATACCAGGTTTAGAAATGGGATGAATAGAAATAAAAAAGTACTAGTGAAACTAGAGTAGTTTCACTACTTTTTACAGAGAAGACAGATAAGGCTTTTGTAAAATGAGCATACTTATGAATATTTATAGAAAGGGACAGGCAGAGAGTAGGGGAAAGGGTAAGCAGAGAAAATGGACTCTGAGAACAGCAGTTCTTCCATAGGCAAAAGACACTCTAGGAATAAGCCAAAGAAAAAGTTTAAGATGAGTAAGATCAAACATTTGTATCATTTGGTCATCTATCTTTCTCAATTAAGTAAAAAAGTAATATGCTGGTATTGAAAAGTTTTAAGAATCCAAAAAGGTTTGCAATTGCCAGTATGCACAAATGCAACACTTCAAAAGGTATCTATTAGTGTCAATACAAAAGTAAACAGAGTCAGAGTTATTTATATGCATATGTACATACATATGCACTGTATGCTTTTTTAAAAAAGTTAAGTGGTATCTATTTGAAAAACACACATAAACTAACAGTTCATTTATCTACAATTCACTAGCAGAGGTCGGGGGTGCAGTGGCTCACTAATCCCAGCACTTTGGGACGCAGAAGTGGGTGGATCATCTGAGGTCAGGAGACCAGCCTGGCCAAACATGGTGAAACCTCATCTCTATTAAAACTTAAAAAATGACCTGCATATGGTGGCACATGCCTGTAATACCAGCTACTTGAGAGGCTGAGGCAAGACAATCGCTTGAAACCAGGAGGCAGAGGTTGCAGTGAGCCGAGAGATTGCACCAGATTGCACCACGAAACTCCAGCCTGGGTGACAGATGAGACCCTGTCCAGAAAGAAAAAAAAAAAAAAGAATTGCCTAGCAGATCATCAAGGTCTAACCCATCAAGAAAAAAATGTTTTATACTTAACAAATGCCTTATAAATCCTTTAAAACTATGTACTTGCCTGTCTTCTTTTTGCACATCCATTGTTGCTGTACCAGAACATCTATCTGCAGGTGCTGGTCTGTGCAATATTAAAATTCTATATTCTTTACAGCTCTTCAGCTATCAAGATATAAAGTAACTACTGCTACAGTTTATGTTGACCCTTAACAAATCAACAAGATTGTACTAAAAATTTGTTTTGACAACCTCCTGTAATATCAAACTTTTCTAAACCATCAGACTCTAGTTCCCTTCAGTCTTGTGACTGAAGTAGATATGGGGAGTGGGGAGAGGGAAGAGGGGAGGGAAGGGAGGTGGCAGGGGACAGTGGGAGGGGGCACGGGAAAGAGGAGAGTGAGGGGTGAATGGGAGGAGGGGATGGAGAGTGAGAAGAGGAGGCAAGGGGCAGGGAGGAGAGGGGGAAGTATAGGGGAGGGGAAAAGGGAAAGGAGGATGGAAAGAAAAGAAAAACTGAGAACCTGCCTTTTAGACCATAAAAATCTGGGAAACAAGCGCTCTACCTGTTTACTGCATCTAGGAAGACCACATATAATAGTTAAATGTGAATTTTAAAGCTTGCTTTACCTTAAGACTAGTAAGTTATTTTCATCAGAGGATTGTCTTCACCAAAGGCAAAGTCTACATAAAGCCATCTGAAGGCTACTGCATTTCTGAAACTGTTTTTCTAAACATACCTCTGAAACTAATTTCCTATATTCTTGTAATTTTCAACCGTAAGTAAATAAAATTTTGCTTACACAATTTTAAATGTAATATTTAGGAATAAAAGATTATTTGGTAAACTTTCGATGTAAACATGAAGGAGCAGCAGAGACTAATCTAGTAGAAACTAATCATTCCAAAAACAGCAATATTTTCCCTTTTTTTTTTTTTAAACATCCAGGCTGGAGTGCAGTGGCACAATCTCGTTTCACTGCAACCTCCGCCTCCCGTGTCCAGGCGATTCTCCTGCCTCGGCCTCCCATGTAGCTGGGATTACAGGCGCCTGCCACCATGCCAGGCTTTTTTTTTTTTTTTTTTTTCCTTTCATATTTTTAATTGGAGAGACGGTTTCCGCCATTCTAACAGGCTGGTCTCGAATTCCTGACCTCGGGTGATCCAGCCTCCCGAAGTGGTGGGACTACAGGTGTGAACCACAGAACCCAGCCAGAAAAACAGCTACATTCTTGATAATCTGTCCAGTAACGAAGACAGTTACCAATTTACTAGCAGCTCTCAATGCTTCTCAACCTTGAAACCTTTCTTAACAGCTACAACCAGAACTCAGAATAAACTCAAGTGTGCTACCACCGTATTTCAGAATCTACCTTTTATAGCCTACATTTAGATCTCTTTTCTATCCATATTATCCACTCCAGGCAAACTGTATTTGCCATTTTCTATAAATGTTTCATTCTCGTAATGACCTGTCCCTACTTCCATTCCTAGCTAAGAAAATCATACTCATCCCTCAGTAATCTTAACAAAATCCTATCTACTTCAAGAATCCTTTCCCAATGATGCATACTGAAACGTCGCCTTCCTGTGAAATCAGCAAACTTTTTGCAGTCACTGTGCGCTCCTAAGAGCCTTGTAATTGTTTCTTAGCAGCTAGCACAGTCCAACTCTAACACTGTGCTCCAATTTGCCAGCAAAGTTGTATAGAATGCAAACAAGTATTTTGAAAATGAAAGTGTATAATAAATTTCAAATTAAAAAAATG